GGAGTAGAAAGGCCAGAGGTGGGGGTGTCTATGTTGGCTCATCTTTCAATGATCCAAAAATCTGCTTGTTCCTTGTCTGGAATTCCTCATCCTCCTTCTCTCAAGCTAGAAACCAAGGAATCATCTTTTTCTCTCCTCTCCCACCCCCGCCTCCTTTACATCAATCTGATTGTTAGAAGTGGGTTAACTTAGATCCTCAATATTTCTGGTGTCTGCCCTCCTCCATCCCCACCGCCAATGCCTTCCTTCGACTCCACTGCCTCGCTGCTAGAGAGCAACACGAGCCTCCTAATCTGTCTCCCGGCCTGCAGCCACCATCTTCCAACCCACTTTTACACCTTGCCAGTCATCTTTCTAACCCCTTCACATTCCTCAAAGGCTTCTTACAGTCTTAACTGACAAAGTTCAAACTCCTAAGTACTTCTGAGACCCTCCAAGATCTGGTGCCTGCCTACCTGCAGGCACTCCCCTAGCAAAATCCTGCCTCTGGGCCCTCATTCTTACTTTTTCCTGGGCTCCCCAGTCTCACAGCCACTTCCAAGAGCCTGTCGCCTGGCAACTACTGCTCAGCATGCAGCATCACTTTTTCTTGAAAGTCTTCACTACAGCACTGCCCCATCAGGGGTCCCTTCTTGTTTTTCTTAATGTCTTGTGCATCCCTCCACAACAGCACTTAGCCCTGGATTGAAATTGTTGGACCTCCTACCTGTATCTATCTCTACCCCCACCCCCCAGTTAAATTACAATTTCTTTAAGAAAAAGGACTTTCTCCTAACCTAACTAACACATAGCTGGAGAGACCTAGCATCTTTAAAAAAAAAAAAAAAATGTTTGTGGAGTGAACAATTTTGGAGAGGCCTGATGAAGGGTTAGTACCAAAAAGACTATAAACTCGATCATATCATGAATGCATTCATGAGAAACAACATTCCTACAGAAAAGCTATGTAGATCAAGCATGTTAGTAGGATATGTATATGGAAGTTACAGTGAATTTACTGTCAGGTGTTAAGCAGTAAAATGTAGTAAAAAGAGTTTTTAGATCAGGCACTTTGGGTTTGAATTCCAACTCTGCCACTTCTAAGCCAGATCACTATGGACAAGTCAGTTAACCTAAATCTCAGTTGCCTCATCTATAAAACAAGGAAAATTTAAGGACCTTCTTGATCGCACTGTTGTATTTAATGAGACAATGGTTGTAAAGTGCCTGGCACGGAGCTGGTTTCTAAGGCTGTTAATAAATGTCGGTCCCTTTCCACTTAGAGAACACTGCTAAAAAGTGCAAGGTCACATATTCTGCGTTTGAGAAGGAAGACTTACCACTCTTCTAAAACCTTGACCACACCCTAACTATCCCAGCCAGCCATCTTGAAGATGAACTAGGTCATAAAGAAGATTAAGCCAAAAAAAAAAAGAAAGAAGAGGAAAAAGCAAATCATTTCAATGCAATTTCATCACCACAGTTGAAAAACAGTTTAAAATACCTGTCCTGCCCTACTCATAGCATCATTTTGGTATAGGAAGAACAACACATGAGTAGGCTACAGACTGAATGTAATGTACATAATGAGCCTTGGAATGTAGGTTCCTGAAGAGAATGAACTTAGTCATGGATCTGCTCCATAGAGCAATGAACTCACTGTAATGTGCCACATAAATAACAAACAATAAGGCACTTAAAGAACTACTCTAGGGGCACCTGGGTGGCTCAGTCATTAAGCGTCTGCCTTCGGCTCAGGTCATGATCCCGGGGTTCTGGGATCGAGCCCCGCCTTGGGCTCCCTGCTCAGCGGGAAGCCCGCTTCTCCCTCTCCCACTCCCCCTGCTTGTGTTCCCTCTCTCGCTGTGTCTCTCTCTGTCAAATAAATAAATAAAATCTTAAAAAAAAAAAAAAAAAGAACTACACAAGAGAAGAAAAGTGTAAGAATTTCAGGTGATCTATGAGAGGGACCCATAATCTAAAATCTTCTAAAGCTACCAGTCTGGTTATAGCAACCTCTATTTTGTAGGGACTGTATTCTCAGACATTTTCATTTTGTCCGAATATACAACTCTGCCTTACCTAATTGCCTAATTTAGATGGAAAGATCACTGTCTTGCCTGTTTTCACACTGAGATGTTATGTTTGAATTTTCAGCAAGAAAAATGTCTTATTTTCTAACCAAATGAATACCACCTACCATATCTGTGACACAGTTTCCACCAAGCAAGTAACAATACAAAGGCAAAAGCTCTGGAAATGGCTTTGTTGATAACTGTTCACTTACTCCCAGAATTAAGGAAATTGATTAAAACAAAACAAAACAAAACAACCCATTAATTTGTTCTAGGTTCTGCTGAGACCGAATTACCAGTTACTGAACTGTTCCTCTTCGTTCAGGTCACCTAATTGTCGAACGTAATTTTATGTTGATCTAACATTAGTGAATTTAATTTTTCACATTTATTTCAATATTCGGTTGACCTTGAAAAATGTTTTTCTGATCTCCTCCACAACGATTACATTTGTTCCTATACGGTCACAAAAAAGTTACAACTTCCTCAAAGACTGGTTAAAGTGCAGTGTAGATTATGCAGTATCTTCCAATGGTCTCTATGCTTTATTTGACAATTTCTCAGTGAAACACCAAGTATGTAAAAACTCTAAACCAGCAGCAACTTAGAGAACGTTAAGAAAAAAAGTAATTTCTGGAAACAAAGGACTACTAAAAAACATCAACTCTTTGCCTTAATTTACCCATTTGAGTTACTGTTAAGAAAGGGAGAGCAGATTTTTAAAAATTACCTAAAACAAAGTGCCTTTAAGGGCATCATCTCTTGAGAGTTCCTACCGGAATGAAAGAAACCATTCAATATTCTTCTAATTTTAGTTAGATTACATTCCTGATGTATTTGAGAAAAAAAAAGTACCCCAGAATGAGCAATCCTGACTCTCCAAATAGCCAAGCATCACAACCCACAAAAATTATTTGTTTCCCTTCCCACCTGACATCTGAACTCACCACTTGCAAGCCCCATCCCTGGAGAATTTTAGTCCCTAAGTAAATATACTGACTACTCTAGCTGAAACGGAAGCATGTACTTAGCCAACCTGATGGATGACTACTTTCATAGTACTGTAGGGAAGTTTTATATGAACTAGTGAAAGAAATGAGGAGGTAGACTGATGAGAGGGAGGCCAGCAGGGGTCCTGAAAGGGTAGCTCCTCATTTGTAAAAAGGCAGGGAAAAGTGAGTAGAATCACAGAAAATTCCTTGTACCTTAATTGCCACTGTTTTTATGACAACCTTATTAAATAATCTTTAAAACATCAAGAAAGAGATCTGTAAAACTCCTTTCAGAAATAATAACGGGGAGTTTACAAAGTCATTTGCTACCATTTGCTTCCTGTTCAGTGTCTGCTACAGCAAAAGACAAGTTGAAAGGGCCTAAAACTAGAAAAAGGATGAATGAGAGAAGTATGCCAGGGGTCATTAGTACTTGTTACATTACAGAATTTAACTGGAATTCACTAGGCTTTTGAGAAGATACATATTCTGTTGAGTATCAAAGAATCTGTCTGTAGGCCACCCCCAAACACAAACGCATGTTTAATCAACTTATTCAAGGCAACAGCCACACATACTTGGGATTTCAAATACTGCCTTTTAAAAAACATACACCCATACATTCTAATTCCACCCAAAATTATTCTTTAAATCTCTGCAGTAAGGCGCGCGTGCACGCACACACACACACACACATTTAACTTGATGTAAATCTAGCCCTTCTTGCTTAAACACCCCGAGGAAAAGAATGAACGCCTCAGTAGGCTTTCCTCTTCTTCAGACCCTACAAGACTCGAAAAGAAGCCAATGGAGTTCAGAACGAAGAAAGAAGGCAAGTAATACAGGAGAATACAACTGGAGACCCTCTCAGGGACTCATTTTATTCTGGGAAAATGTCATCTCCATTCCTTCCCCAAACCCAAAGGCCAGGCACCACTGGCGCAATACCATCCCTGTCCAAAGCGCCAAAGAGTTGCCAACTAATCTCCCAAGGTGTCCCCCAACCTCCTCACCTCGTCAGCGCTCAGCTCCTCCATCGCTTTCCTCTTAATGGTGAAAGGCGTTAGGGAGAGATCCTTCTGTTCTTGAGACCAGGGCGGGAGGAGAATGGAAGGTGTCTATCGGGCTGTCTGGTCCCCCGAATGGGGGAGGTTTCAGAATTGCATAGTCAGAGGTTAAAAAATAAGAACACGAGAGGCACTGAACCGCCTTGGCGTCGGTCACTCCAATCGCCCCAGAGACTCCTACAGCTGCTTGTGCCCCGAGCAGCCTCCTTTGGCCGCCACTGCTGCTGCCCTACAGGGTTATCTTAAGGCGCCACTATTGCCCTCTGCTTCCCAGGTTACCCAGACCAGGGACTCGGGTCTCCAGCTCGTCTCGTGCCCCGAGCCTGCTGGGTCTTCGTGGTAGTGGCGCGGCAGGTGCGCTTCCTCCCGCAGATCCTGCTCTCTTTCCTACCCTTTGCCCCAGGCGGGAACTGTTCGACTGCAGAGTGGATGCCCCGAGGTAAGGCGACCCCAGAGCCGCCGAGGCAGAGCCCAGCACTGAAGAGGGAAGCCCCTCCCCTCCCAAAGCAGGCCGGCCACGCCCCGCCTCCACGCCGGAGCCCGGGCAGGGGGGAGGGGGAGGACGGGACTCGCGGTGCTCCGGATGTAAGAGTAAATCCTCCTACCCCTCCACCCCTACTCTTACCCCCTCGCCCCACCAAGTATTATTCATCAAAACAACAGGGCGGCCATCTTTGAAAGGGATCACGTGACCCCGCCAGAGAGGCGGGGCTCCTGGCCCCAGGACGAGGTAGCCAATGGGCCGCGGGCGTCGCGCCGCCGATTTCCTCTCGCCTGCGTCTCCTCCCCCCACGCCCCACCCCCTCCCCCGCAGCCGCGCCGGGCGGGGGAGGGGCGAGCGGGGCGAGCGGGGCTGCGGGCGGACGGCGCGCAGGGGGCGGGGCGGCGCGGTGCCATGGCGACGGCCCGGGGGCGGCGGGCGCGGCGGGCGCGGCCAGGTAGGCTCCGGGGAGAGCCTGGAGGGGCGGGAAGCTGGGCGAGGAGGGTATGCGGGCCTGCGCTGCGATCGCGCAGCGCCTGCGTGGTTTCCAGGCGCTTGCTTTCTAGCGACTCCACGATGCAGACCAAGTAAAGGGAAAGAGAAGACCTTTCTGGGGCCAACGTTCTCTAACGCGTTGACCGCTCACATTCCGAAAAACCCTTGGACACTTCACCTCCACAGAGAAAGCCCATCTGGAAGAAAACTAAGACAAGTACGACTTCATTTTATTTGACTTTAGCCTTTTAGAGAGTTCTTGCTTTGGCTTTTTTTTTTTTTTTTAAACGTGTTCCAGAGTGATGGTAAAATTTGAAGGTATAAATGATTGGGAGACCTAGAAAATGTTGAAGTGTCTGCACATATACAAGAAAGGCTTTTGGAGTCAATGATAAGAAGCCATCTTCACCTGCTTAAGAATACAGTTTTTTTAAATTGAGATATAATTGACGTATAACGTCCTATTCGTTTTATTTTTTTATTTTTTTTAAAGATTTTATTTATTTATTTGAGAGAGAGAGAGAGCACATGAGAGGGGGGAGGGTCAGAGGGAGAAGCAGGCTCCCCGATGAGCAGGGAGCCCGATGCGGGACTCGATCCAGGGACTCCAGGATCATGACCTGAGCCGAAGGCAGTCGCCCAACCAACTGAGCCACCCAGGCACCCACGTCCTATTCGTTTTAGATATACAGCATAAAGATTCGTGGGGTTTGGGGTTTTTTTTTTTTTAAGTTTTTATTTAAATTCCAGTTAGTAAAAAAATAAATACATAAATTCCAATTGCTTAATATACAGTGTAATATTAGTTTCGGGTGTACAATATAGTGATTCAACACTAACATGTAACACCCGGTGCTCATCACAGCAAGTGCACTCCTTCATCCCCATCACCTATTTCACCCATTACCCCCCCCACTTCACCTACCTCTCCTCTGATAACCATCCAGTTGTTTTCCATAGTGAAGGGTCTGGTTCTAGGTTTGCCTTTTTTTTTTTTTTTTAACATTTGCTCATCTGTTTTGTTTCTTAAATTCAACATATGAGTGAAATTATATGGTATTTGTTTCTCTGACCCACTTATTTCGCTTAACATAATACTGTCTAGCTCCAAACATGTTATTGCAAATGGCAAGACCATTCTTTTTTTATGGCTTTTTCATGGCTGAGTACTAGTCCGTTGTATGTGTGCATGCCACCTCTTTATCCATTCATCAGTGGATGGACACTTGAGCTGTTTCCATAATTTGGCCATTGTAGATAATGCTGCTATAAACATCATGTATCCCTTTGAATTAGTATTTTTGTATTCTTTGGGTAAATACCTAGTAGTGCAATTGCTGGATCATATGGTAGTTCTATTTTTAACATTTTGTGGAACCTCCATGCTGTTTTCCAGTGGCTGCACCAGCTTGCATTCCCACCAGCAGTGCAAGAGGGTTCCCCTTTCTCCACATCCTCACTCACACCTGTTGTTTCTTTGTGTTGTAGATTTTAGCCATTCTGACAGGTGTGAGATGATATCTCATTGTAGTTTATTATTTTTTTCTTTAAGACTTTATTTATTTGACAGAGACACACACAGCGAGAGAAGGAACACAAGCAGGGGGAGTGGGAGAGGGAGAAGCAGGCTTCCCGCGGAGCAGGGAGCCTGACTCGGGGCTCAGTCCCAGGACCCTGGGATCATGACCCGAGCCAAAGGCAGACGCTTAACGATTGAGCCACCCAGGTACCCCTTGTTGTAGTTTCGATTTGCATTACAAAGTAATGATTTGATATGTGTGTATATATATAATGCAAAATGATTACCAAAATTGTTTAGTTAACATCTTGTATATATATAGCAAATCTATAATACAGTATTGTTGACTGTGGTCCCCATGCTGTACATTACATCCCAGGACTTATAACTGGAGGTTTGTACCTTTTTTTTTTTTAAGATTTTATTTATTTATTTGAGAGAGAGAGAATGAGAGAAAGCACATGAGAGGGGTTAGGGTCAGAGGGAGAAGCAGACTCCCTGCCGAGCAGGGAGCCCGATGCGGGACTCGAACCCAGGACTCCAGGATCATGACCTGAGCTGAAGGCAGTCGTTTAACCAACTGAGCCACCCAGGTGCCCGGAGGTTTGTACCTTTTGACCACCTTACCCATTTGGTCCACTTCTACCCCACAATGGCGATCACCAATCTGTTCTCTGAAGAATACAAATATTTTGTAATATAGAAATCTAAATTGAGTGGTCAACATAGCAGTATCATGAAATTCTAGATTTTGCCACCTACTGAAGAATATACTGTATTGGATGATTTACTAAACCATAATCTTAAAGATTGTATTGCAGAATTAAAAGAATTTCTTTTTTTCCCCCCCTTTGGTACTTGCTTAGAATAGTAACATGACAGCTAGATATGCAAGGAATTTGTGAGTAAAATGAGACCACTGCTGGCTTTGCATATTATCTGCTCTCCAGGAAAGGAATTCTGTATAAGCCAGAATTTGGACTCCTGGTGACATTGATGTTAATATGTTCACTTCTCACTTCTTTTTTTAAACATCCTTATTGTAATATAATTCACATACCATACAATCCACTCATTTAAAGTATACAAAGGTCAGTATATTCACAGTTGTTCGACCATCACTAATTCTAGAACAATTTCATCACCCCCCAAAAAAGACTACATACCTATTAGCAGTCACTTCCTATTCTCCCCTCTCCTCCCTGGACAACCAGCAATCTGCCTTCTGTTTCTTTTCTTTTCTTTTAAGATTTTATTTATTTATTTGACAGAGAGCACAAGCAGGGGGAGAGGCAGGGCGAGGGAGAAGCAGGCTCCCCACGGAGCAGGGAGCCGGGCTCGATCCCAGGATTGAGCCGAAGGCAGACGCTTAACTGACTGAGCCACCCAGGCCTTCTGTTTTCTATGAATTTTCCTATTCTGGACATTTCACATCAATGGAATCCTACTCTATGCAGCCTTTTATGTCTAGCTGCTTTCACTTAGCATATGCTTTCAAGGTTCACCCATGTTGTAGCATATATCAGTACTTCCTTAATGCCAAATAATATTCACTGAATAGATATATCACATTTTGCTTATCCATTCATCAATTAATGGACATTTGAGTCGTTTGCACCTTCGGGCTATTATGAACGATGCTGCTATAAACATTCATGTACAGGTTTTCTGTGTAGACATGTTTTCATTTCTTTTGGGTATATATCTAGAATGAGAATTGCTGGGTTATGTATTTAGCTTTTATTTTTAGATTTTATTTTTAAGTAATCTTTACACCCAACGTGCTGGAACTCACGATCCCCAGATCGAGTTGCATGCTCTACTGACTGAGCCAGCCAGGTGCCCCATAGATGTTTAGCTGTTTGAGCAACTGACAAACTGCTTTGCACAGCAGCTGCACCATTTTTCATTTCCACCAGCGATGTATGAGGTTCCCATTTATCTACCTCCTCTCCCGCACTTGTTACTGTCTGTCTTTTTTATTACAGCCACACTAGTAGGTGTGAACTGGTATCTCATTGTGGTTCTGCTTTTCATTTCTCTAAGGGCTAATGAAATTGAGCATCTTTTCCTGTGTTTAGTAACCATTTGTCTAGGGGTGCCTGGGTGGCTCAGTTGGTTAAGCGACTGCCTTCGGCTCAGGTCATGATCCTGGAGTCCCAGGATTGAGTCCCGCATCGGGCTCCCTCCTCAGCAGGGAGTCTGCTTCTCCCTCTGACCCTCCCCCCTCTTGTGCTCTCTCTCTTTCATTCTCTCTCTCAAATAAATAAATAAAATCTTTTTAAAAAAAAAAGTAACTATTTGTCTATCTTCTTTGGCCAAATAGTGTTCACTTTTTAGTTGAGTTACTTGTCTTTTTATTGTTTTCAGTTGTCAGAGTTCTTTATATATTCTAGGCGCCAGTCCCTTATCAGATGTGCAATTTGCAAGTCTTTTTTGAGTACAGTTGACACAGTGGTATGTTAATTTCAGGTATACAACGCAGTGATTCACCTGCTTTGTACATGATGCTGTGCTCACCACTGCCGTCTGTCACCGCACAATACCATTACAGTACCACCGACTGTATTCCCAGTGCTGTACCTATTGTTCCTGTGACTTATTCACTCCATAGCTGGAGGCCTGTATCTCTGACTCCTCTTCACCCACTTGGCCCATCCCCCTCTGGCCAGTCCGTTCTCTGTACCTATAGGTCTGATCGCAATTTGTAAATATGTTTTCCCATTCTGTGGGTGGTCTTTTCACTTTCTTGATGGTGTCATTTGTAGCACAAAAGTTTTTATTTTGATAGAGTCCAGTTTATCTATTTTTTCTCTTGTCTCTTACACTTTTGATACAACACATTGACTTTTACAAGGCATGTTTAATCATTTAATATTGTCTGAGCTAGTTTGGGCTGCTGTAATGGGACACCATAGACTGGGTGGCTTAGAAACAACAGAAATGTATTTCTCAGTTCTGGAGGCTGGAAATCCAAGGTCAGGGTACCAACGTGGTCGGGTCGGCGCAGACTGCTGACTTACTGTGTCCTTATGTGACTGAGAGCAGAAGGAGGAAACAAGCTCTCTAGTGACTCTTATAAGGGCACTAATCTCATTCATGAATGCTTCACCTTTATGAACTTATCTAATGCTAATTACCTCCCGAAGTACAGCTGACCTTTGAACAACAAGGGTTCAAACTGTGCAGATCCACTTATACGGAGATTTTTTTCAATGAAAGCACTGTAAGTGTATTTTCTCTTCCTCAAGATTTTCTTAATAACCTCATTTCTCTAGTTCACTTTATCATAAGAATACAGTAGGGGCACCTGGCCAGCGCTGTTGGTTGGGCACTCTTGTTTTGCCTCAGGTCATGATCTTAGGGTCGGGGTCATGAGATCAAGCTCTGCTTTGGTTGCAGGAGCCTGCTTGGGATTTTCTCTCTCCCTCCCTCTGCCCCTCCCTACCACTTGCACACTCTCTCTCTCTCTCTCTCAAAATAAACAAAAACAAAAAACCTATCTTGACTCTACATCTCCTTCAAACTATGCCTTCTTTCTTTGCCTCCTTGACAGCAAAACCTCTCAAAAGAGACATCTTTTTTATTCCCTTACTCCTATACCGTTCTGAGAAAATTCTCTTGTCAGAGTCACCAACGACCTCCATTAGGCCAAGATCAGTTCCAGCTCTGTGTCCGATACTTACTGGCCTTGACAA